CTAACTACCGCACACCCCGTCCCCTGCCTTCCTGCGGCGACTCCTTCGCTCGCTCGCTGAGAAACCCCCGCTTTTGGTTGGAGGCCGAGGCGCCCGTCCCAGGGCATGAATCACGTTTGTTGAAGCCCAGCCCGGGCGTTCTGGGTGCCCTTTTGCCTCGTACTCGAAACCGTTTACAGCGGGCCTGTAGCCAGGGCCGGCCGTGTGATTCACCTCTGGCTCGGGAGACAGAGGTCCTCCGCAGATTTTCCTCCCTGGTGACAGGCGGGACACGCCTGAAGAAAAGTCCCCCTGACGTAGCTCTCCCTCACTCTGCTCCTGGAGTTTGAACTTCGCCATGGTGACCGGGGCTGTGACGGCCATCCAGGGACCGTGGGGCTCCAAGGGCACAAAGCCACCACGTGGGTGAAGGCAGAGCATTTGGGTGGAAAGAGGACAGAGTGGGAAGAACCCGGGTCCCACTCACATCGCTGAGTGTGTGTGCCCCACCCCCTTGCCTGCTCCCTCTTAAGTTCTTAACTAATTGTTCTCCTTGCAGACGCCACCAGCGGGCGGGTGTTCTGGGCCAGCTGAATGCATTCCTAATCAATGCATGTATTTAAAGTTTCTTTTAATCTACCCGGCTGGCGTAGCTCAGTGGATTGAGCTCAGGCTGCGAACCAAAGCATCGTAGGTTCAGTTCCCAGTCAGGGCACATGCCTGGGTTGCAGGCCACGGTCCCCAGCAGCCGCACATGGATGTTTCTTTCTCCCTCCCTTCCCTCTCTAAAAATAAATAAATAAAATCTTAAAAAAAATTTCTTTTATTCTGAAGTCATTTCAAACTCAGAGAAGATTCGTATGACAAAGAACTGTGGCTCCTGCCCTGCACCCCAGTTAAGAGCAAGCCCAGGGGACCCCCTCCCGGGAATGAGAACCGTGAGCCAACAGAACCCGACCCGCCATTCGGGACGATGCTTTTTCCCCGCCGACCGCAGGCCGCCAGGGAGAACCGACGTCTGCTGTTCACGCCGTTAAGACTGGGGGGCTGTTTGCTACTCAGGGTCGCGGTAACCAAGCCGGGCTGACACCGACTTCCTGTTTCCGAAATACAGCGTGCCACTTATTTATAATATCTCTGCATAGGGTCCCTGTTCGCATTTCAACGCTTTCCAGTTTCAAGTACAGCCGACAGCCACTATTATTTTGTACTGGTTTCAGGTGTACAGCATGGTGGTTGGACAGTGATGTAGTTTACAAGGTGGCCCTCGTGACAACTCAGGTTCCCCCCCCTCGAGCACCCTTACTGCAGTGTGACAGCATTACTGGCTGTGCTCCCTGTGCTGGGCCCTGTGACTGTTTCCTGACCACCCATCTGCACTTCTTCACCCCTTCGCCTTTTTCACCCGCTCCCCCCACACCCCTCCCTGCAATGTCACCATTTCCGAGATAAGGAGACTCAGGCTCAGAGAGGTTAAGAAACTTGCTCGAGGTCGTCCCAGAGCTAGTGAGCCAGAGAGGAGGGATTCGAACCCAGGACCGTCTGACGTGCAAGCCCGCCTTCCTTCCTCCATCCAGGCACGAGTGATCTCATCCTGCCTGAAGGGGCTGCTTTTCGCGTCCCTTGTTTCCGAGTCTGGGAGAGGGCAGGGCCCCAGGCCCCGACCTTTGGGTCTGGAGAGGCCTCAGCCCTGTGAGTGGGTGGGAGGCGGCTTCCCCAGCCTCAGGGATGGGTGCTGACCGTGGGCCGGCGCTATCTGTCTGGGCCTCGATAAGCCACGCCAAGTGTGTCAGCGGGGCCGTGCCCGGCCAGCAGCGAGCCAGCCTGCCTCGGGGTGGGCTGGCCTGCCCTCTGCCCATAGTGGCTGGGGTAGGAGTGGCCGCTGACCCTGCTGTGGTCTCTGGACTGAACCACGGGTCTCGGGAAAACAAATCCTGTGAACCCCTATCTTCAGAAGAAAAGGGATCAATGACTTTAAATAGAAGAATATTGGGATCGGGGGACCCCGGCATGCTAAGAAGTTCCGAGAAAATCCTCTCAGTGCGATGTTGCAGGAGCTGAACTCCGCGAGGATCCCTCCCTCTGAGGAAGGGCAGGGTTCTGGCTGGGATCAGATAAGAGCCACGGAGTTTATCGGGAGCCGATTAGCTGTCCCGGAGCTGAGAGTCTGAACTGAGACGAGGCTGGGCTCGGGTGTTGGCCAGAGACACTCCTTGGTGTTCAGCTGTTTGCTCTGCCCAGGTCTTCTGAGAAGTGCGGAGAAGAGCCTGGGGCAGAAGGGGCAGCCCGCGCTTGCCCTAGACCGTTGTCCCCAGCAGACGGGCTGAGGCAGGAGTCCTGCCTGGGACGGAGGGGGAGGTGCGAGCCGTGGCTACCTGCTGGCTGCAAGGTGTTGCCTCTGGGTGTGCCTAAGGGCTTGCTGATACAGAGAAGACCTGGGCTAACAGAGGAAGAGTCTCAGGGTTCTGAGGATCTGGCCTTTCACACACGAAGCCTCATGCCTCTGAGCCTTTGCACATGCTGTTCCTCTGTGTAGCTTCCCCCCCTGCTGCCCACCCCAGACAGACAGCCGCCCCACCCCGCCGTTCTCATGCCACCACTCGGCTCACACACCTTGCTTACTTTTTGTGCTAGGCAGGGCTTTTTCAGTCGCAGGCGACGAGGGAAACTCCACTCAGACACGTGTTAGCCAAAGGGCGGTTTAACGGCTTTCGTGCCTGCAGAGACCGGGCTGTGCCCGCAGCCAGAGGCTTAACACCACGCTTTTCTCTCCAAATGAGACCCAGTTCCTTGACGGAAGAAGTTCAGCGTCCAGAGGACCCGACAGCCATGCGTGGCAACGAATGGCAACAACACAGTGTCACAATCGCTGCGAGAGTAGGCAACACCGGGGTCCCCGGAGCACAGGACCTACTTGGCCCAGAGGGTCAGGTGGGCTCCTGGTCTCTGCTTGCCGGCACACTGGCTTCCTCCCCTCCTCGCGTCACTCCCACCCGGAGCGTTAAGTCTTGGAGGTTCTCTCTCCGCACTTGGCTCCTTCTGCTCCTTGTTACGAAGACGAACATAGTCTCTTCCTCCTGCAGCCTCTCCCGTCCAAAGACGCGTCCACTTTCTGACTCCCCATCCCAGAGCCGGGGCAGAAGCCTCCTTGGAGGGCAGCCCCGGCAGAGAGGGGCACAGGTGCAGCCGGGGGAAAGGCAGAGGCTCGGAGCCCCCGCCCCCCCCCCCGGTAGAGGGCCTACGTGGGTCTCCTCACACCTGCCTGCTAAACCGCTGTGATGAACCCACTTTGCAGGCGAGGAAACGGAGGCCCGAAGATATCACGTAACGTGCCCAAGATCCCTGTTCCTGCTGGCCATGCTGTTCCTTCTCTGTTTTCCTGTTTGTCCACTTCGCCGTGATTCCGGCCCAAAGAGGGATTTCCCCAGGGAAGCCTTCTTCAAAGATCTCCCCCGGGTCCATCCCTCGTAATGCTCTGGGTACCACTTCTTCCTAGCACGTGGGACCGCTGTCAGTGTCTTTGACGGTCCTCAGGTCAAAGTCTGTCTCTGACGCTAGACTGTGACCTCGACGAGGGAGAGGACAGCACACATATTTTTATGCACTCTCGCGTGTCCCGTGACCAAAACAGCCTTTGGGACACAACAGGTGCTCTGTAACTATTTGCTGAATGAAAGACTAAGGAACCGAGACCCAAACCCCTGTCTCCAAAAGCGGAGCCGTTTTCTGGCCTCGCGAGCTGGTGTTCTCCGGGACCAGGGGTGGGGGGCGGGGATGGCGCTCACCTGGGGTGAGGAATTCCCCCCCAGGACACCCATCAGGGAAATGACAGTGTGTGTGTGTGTGGGGGGGGGACCAGTAGTGACTGGACTCTAGGCTGTCTACAGACAAGGAGGGGTAGTAACAGCCGGAGAAGCAGGGGCAGTGAGCGAGGTCAGGACAACCGGACACTCGCAGGGCCTTGCAGGACTGTCTGAGGCTCAGGGGCCGCGGGGAGCGCCTGAGGGCTCTCTGTCGGAGGGGGGGGGATGACACGATTGTAGGTGCATTTGACAAGAAGGGTCACTGTGCCTGCCATCGAGTGGAGGGTGGACAGAGGCTTGCAGCCGAACTCCCTGGTGCTGGAGTGCACCACCCCAGGGGAGTGTCGCCGTCAACCAGGGTGGGGAAGCCCTGGGCCGGGACATCCGTGCCAGAGAGGAGAGGTCCAGCTCCGGGAGACGGGGAGGCAGGTGGCGAGTGTGACTCTCCAGTTCTGAGTGCAGACATTGGGCAGATGGCCTTGCCCACTCTGACAACAGAAAGCAGGGTGGGGGGAGAAGGGGAGACAAGGAGGGGCTGTTGAGGGCTGAGTGGGTAGAGCCTGAGAGCTGGGACCTTCAGGCGTTGCCCCGGTGGGAGGGGGGCAGGACAGGCGGGTCTGATTTGGAGGGACCAGAATCCAGCCCCTGCACCTGGGCCCCTCAGAAGGTCTCAGACGGAACCTCGGAGCAAGATGGCACCTCCTCCATCTCTCCCCAGCTGCCTTTCGCTGAGCTTAACACCAGCACGAGACCTGGCGGTTCACAGACAGAACTTACCAGCTGGGGAGGCGTGGTGAGATCCTGAAACACCTTTCTGGTGTTTTCCCACCATTACAAAAAAAAAAAAAAAGATAATTCAGGCTTTGGGCCGTCCATTCAAGCCTGCTCCCTCTTCCGTGGCGCACCAAGGTGGTGTGAGGCCGCCCCTCCCAAGGCCGCAACAGCCTTGCCAGGAGGAGGCTCCCGCTGCTGGGGGCTCCCTTCCTCTTCCTCGTGTCCCCCAGGTTCAGGGCAATCATCCCCCAAAGGACAAATGGCTCCAGGGTTGGGGTGGTGGTGGGGAAGCGGACTCTCCCAAGAGGTCAGGTGAAGACCCCGAATCTTAGAGTGTGGAGGGGAGTTTGGAGAGGTTCCCAGGAGCCCTGCCTCCTGTGCAGGCGGGGGCGGGGGCGGGGCGGCGGAATGGGGCAGGTGGGCCTCGGCTGCACGGCTTCCCCGAACCCTTTCACCACCCGGAGGGGTGGGCATCGTTACCTCTTTCTGTGGGTGAGAAGACCAAGGCCCAGGGTAGTTCGGTTCAGACTCAAGGTCGCACAGCCAGGAAATCAAGTTTGAATTGGGACCCAGGTCTGTGGGAAATCCAGAGTCGCCCCCTTTCCCCTACCTACAAGCGCTCCCGCGCCCCCCAGTCTAGAAGCCAGTGCTTCCCCCGACTTCCCACCCCTCCCCTCCCTCCCTTTCTATTCCCCAAACGCCGCCTGGGCCAAGGCCGCGCGCACCGGGGCTGGGCCGGACCTCTTTATCTTACTGGGGCGTGTTCTCCTCAGCTCGCCGCACGGATCTGCCACTGGAGTGCCCCTAGGACCTGCGGGTTCGCCCCGGACTCCAGCCGGCAGAGCGCGGACGGGGAAAGCGCCCAGGCACCGGTGGGGCGGGTGCGCTGGAGAGCGGGGAGCGTGGAGGCGCGTGGGCGGGAGCGCGGGCCCCCGGGAGCCGCCCGGGACCCACGCAGCGCTCGCCCGTGCCTGCCGCTCCCGGCCCCCGCCCCCTCGGTGGTGGCTAGCTCTTCGCTTCTCCGGCTCGGAACCCGACACAGTCTCCGCGGCTTCCCGGCGCCGCCGCGCGCTGCGGGCTCCCAGAAACCGCCCCGCGGGCTCCGGCTGCTTCCTGTCCCCAGCGCCGGCACTGAAGGGGCGCAACGCGGCCACCAACCCGGAGGCGCTTGAGGCGAGAGGGGTCCCCGCGCGAGCTGGGGCCCCGGCGCAGCTCACGGTGAGCGTCCCCCAGGGCTTGAGGATCCCGTAGCCACGGGTACCCTCGCGCTACCCCCGGGTGCCCGATGGGGCCGCCCGGGGGGCACGGGGCTGAAGTTGGGAGCGCACGCAGCTCACCCCCGCTGCGGAGTCCGACATGCTGCTGCCGGGGCGCAACGGCACCGAGTGGTTCGGGCAGCAGCAGCCAGCTCCGGGAGGCGCCCTGGGGGGCTCGGAGGAGGCGGCACCACTGAGGCCCGCGCAGGTGGTCACCGCCTGCCTCTTGACCCTGCTCATCATCTGGACCCTGCTGGGCAACGTGCTGGTGTGCGCGGCCGTCGTGCGCAGCCGCCACTTGCGCGCCAGGATGACCAACGTTTTCATCGTGTCTCTGGCGGTGTCCGACCTCTTCGTAGCGCTGCTGGTCATGCCCTGGAAGGCTGTCGCTGAGGTGGCCGGTCACTGGCCCTTTGGGGCCTTCTGCGACGTCTGGGTGGCCTTCGACATCATGTGCTCCACCGCCTCCATCCTGAACCTGTGCGTCATCAGCGTGGACCGCTACTGGGCCATCTCGAGGCCCTTCCACTACCAGCGCAAAATGACCCAGCGCGTGGCCTTGGTCATGGTCGGCCTGGTCTGGACCCTGTCCGTCCTCATCTCCTTCATCCCAGTCCAGCTCCATTGGCACAGGGACAAGACAGGCTCCTGGGGCGAGGTGGACCCGCCGCCCACCCTGGCCAATGGGACGCCCTGGGAGGAGGCGGGGGAGCCGGAGGTGCAGGCAGAGAACTGTGACTCCAGCCTGAACCGGACCTACGCCATCGCCTCCTCGCTCATCAGCTTCTACATCCCCGTGGCCATCATGATCGCGACCTACACGCGCATCTACCGCATCGCCCGCATGCAGATCCGCAGGATTTCCTCCCTGGAGAGGGCCGCGGAGCATGCGCGGAACTGCCGGAGCCCCGCGGTCCCTACGCCCGGTGCCAGCCTGCGGGTATCGATCAACGCGGAGACCAAGGTCCTTAAGACCCTGTCGGTGATCATGGGGGTCTTCGTGTGCTGCTGGCTGCCCTTCTTCATCCTGAACTGCCTGGTCCCCTTCTGCAGCGCACACAAGGGGGGCCCTGGGAGGAGGTTCCCCTGCGTCAGCGAGACCACCTTCGACGTCTTCGTCTGGTTCGGCTGGGCCAACTCCTCCCTCAACCCCATCATCTACGCCTTCAACGCTGACTTCCGGAAGGTGTTCGCCCAGCTCCTGGGGTGCGGCCGCCTCTGCTCCCGAACCCAGGTGGAGACGGTGAACCTCAGCATGGAGTTCATCTCCTCCAACCAGGACACTGTCCCCCACGAGGAGAGGGCGGCTGCCCACAGCCACATGATCCCCAACGCGGTGACCCTGGGGGACAGGGAGGTGGACGAGGTGGAGGGGGGCCCTCTGGATCGCCTGGCCCAGATCTCCAGGGCGCCCCCGGATGGTGACCCTGCCGCCAGGTCTGCCTGGGAGCTGGACTGCACGGGGGAGATTTCATTAGGCAAGACAATGCCTTTCACCCCGAGTGGATCCCATTAAACAACGTAAGACATGCCCTTCGTGGATCTACAGAACCGCACAGACCGAAAGGAGCATGCGGAACACGGCCGTGGCCGGGCGGCGCGGCTGGTTAGAGCGCCGTCCTGTGGGCCAGGGTTGCAGGCCCCATTCCGGTCAGGGCACGCGCGGGAAACAGCCAACGAATGCATTGTATTCGGAGCAACACAGCGATGTTTCTCTCTCTCTCTCTCTCTCTCTCAAGTCAATTAAAGAAACTGTTAAAAAAAAGGAGCATGTGGAGCACACGCACTCGCGTGTGCCGTGTTGCTCATCTCCCCCCCCCCACCCCCCCGGGTGTCGGTTGGAGCCTCTGTGCTCAGGAGGCTCCCCCACTCGGTGTGCGGCTGCAGGAACCGGCAGGCGCCGTTGTTGCGAACTCAGTCGCACGCACCTCCGCCTGCCAGCTGCGGACCAATGGTCCTTTCAGAGGTACTGTTTGGGTCTTAAAAAGAAAAAGAAGGAAAAGTGGGACTCGGCCTTTACAAACTATACTCCGCCCTCCCCTTTTAGGCGAACGGATGGCTTTTCCGGCAGCGGGCTCCGCGTGCGCGTGCTGTGCTGATGGGGCGGGTGGCCCTCCCCTCCCTCGCGCCCTGCGGCCGGAGTGCACGCAGCATCTGCTCTGCGTGCCTCACCCACAGCCGAGGAACCTTCCTGACCCGCTCTGGGTGCAATAAACACCAACTGTGCGTGCGATGGGCTGATGACCTCTGCTTTGGCCAGGCCGGCTTGGAGGCTGGCTGCCGGAGGAATCACGAAGCGTGATCCTTCCGAAGCTGGGAAGGTGTCCCGGAAACACACGCTGGTTTTCCTTACAGACAGCTCGGCCCTTAAGGCGCCCTCGGGGCCGAGGGACCTCGGAGAGCTTTCGATGTCTCGGAATGTTTCTTTATGAGACGCATACATCTCGAGTCTCTGCTGAAAGCAGCTTCAGGGCCGTGGCGCGTCAACTGTGGACGTGGCAAGGCTGGGCTTCTCATGCTTTTTTTTTTTTTCTTTCTTTCTGGGTTGGCAGCTTCTTTTTAAAATGATACAGCGCAGAACCATTCTTCGATTCCCACGCAGTTTCCGTCAGTTCCGTGAGAAGATGGTCTGGAACGATAACCAGACCTTTCTCCACCTCGTCTGCCGTGTTGTGGAGTTACGTGGCTTTTGATTAACCACGCTTCCCGAAGGACTTTGACGTGTGTGTGCTGATAAGCTTTAGGCAACAAAACCCGTTTTTTTTTTATACGGGAGCTTTTATTTGTAGACAACAAGAAATGAGGGGACGCATTTTAACGAAAAAGGAGGAGGTAGAGGTGACATGTGAGTGAACCGAGAACTGGAAGATCTGGTGAGCGAGGTGCTCCCCCAAATGCACTTCCTCCGGAGCCAGGCCCGCTGAGCGTGGCTCGCGCCCATCAGACCTAAATGCGGGCGTTGTTAATGGAAGTGCACGAGATGTTGACCGTGGAATTTCTTGCAGGCGGCGTGTACTTTGGAGCAGGCTCATCAAGGGCAGCTCGATCAATCTGGCTCTCTTTCAGGATAACTTTATTGCCTGGCTCCTGAGCAGCTGTGTCCTCCTGTTCACTGGGAAATGCGCGGTGCCCGGCCCCTAATGCCTAATAAGTATTTGCTGAATGAACAGCTGACTATTTCTGGAACGGGGAGAGGGAAAGCAAACCCCATTTGGTACCTTAGTTTCCGTAAATGACTCGGTCAAACTGACGTGGGAGTCTGAGGTCTGTGTTCCGTGTTTGGCCTCTTGTGAACCGATGGCTGAGTGCACCATTAGGGAAGCACGGGGCCAGCGCCCAGCGCCCTGCTCCACGTTTCAGGGCGTGGAGACGGCTGTGTGACCTTGAATGACTCGGCCAGTCTCTCCGGGCCTCAGGTTCTGCCTGCGCCTGTAAACTGAAAGACCGACCCTGTGTGTTTCCCCCATTGTGCTCCCCTCCGCAGCTGCTCAGGGTGGGTCTGGGGCGGCACAGCGGGCCCGGTGTCTGTTTTCTCCACGGGGCTTCTCGGAGCTTTCCCTGTGCGTCATGAAACCGCAAGCAGGAGGCAATTCTGCATTGTTTCCCCGATGTCTTTGACCTTGCGAACCCTTGTTAAAGGTGGACTTCCTTCTTCCTGGCTCCCAGGAGGCTGCAATGTCAGGGAACACAGCCTGAGAAATCCCCGTCGACCAGGAAGTCTCTAAAATACAGCCGTTCCAGAGAGGCTGTGAGAAGCAAAGTCTTTCGTGGGAATGTTCTAGACCCCAGTTCAGATAATCTCTGTGCCAGGAACGATGATGGGTCAGGGGAGGACTTTGGAGACCCCTTCTGCAAGATATCATTCTCTATGGTTATTTACAGCTACTACGTGCTGGGTGTTCGTCACACGCTCTGGTGTGCTGGAACTTCCCTTCTAGTGGGGGGACAAGCAGAGGCACCCCGCTCTGCTACGGAATCTGGGGTGTCCCGCCAGGCGGTGATAGCCGAGAGCCGCTGGCCCAGGAACAAATCCCGGGGTTACAGCTAGGTGAGTGTAGTGATGAAGCTACTATTTATTTAGGGTGGTCCAGGAGGGCCTCTCGGAAGAGGCGTGAGGAAGAGAGACCCAGAGGAAGAAGCGAGGTCGGAGCAAAGCTTGTGTCCAGGCAGAGGGAATGGCGTGCGCCAAGGCCCGGGGTGGGGCGGCTTTGGCACGCCCAGGGGAAGAGAAAGGCGGCCTGTGTGGCTGGAGGGCTGTGCGAGGTCGGCGCTGAAATGGCAGGCTCTCTGCAGACCCCTCCTGTGCCGGGGGGCCCCTCCTGTGCTGGGTGCCCCTCCTGTGCTGGGTGCTGCTTCCACGCCACATGGCTTATGCTTGCAGCCCCGGGTGCAGGCATTCTGATCGCCCCATCCCACAGGTGAGGAAATGGAGGCACCAGGAGGCTCAGTCACCAACCTGGGGTCACAGAGCTCATGAGGGGCTGAGCCGGACTTGAACCTGGGCAGCCTGGCCATGGAGTCTTTAAGCTGCCCAGCGGTGGTGAGAGGGGGGCTGCCCTGGCACCCCCAGGCAGCAAGTGCAGAGTGCCTGGGCCAGAATGTTCCCTGTTCACGGTTTAGCTAGCTGGTTACTGTGGTGTCCCTCTGTCCGCAGGGGAGCCCACCTTCTCTGTGCACCTGCACTGAGCGCTCCTTTGTGGGGAGCACAGGCAGCAGAGGGCCGTGGGCGAGGGCCCGGGTCCTGAGCCCTTCCGTGGTGGCCAAGCGCTGTCCTGATTCTTGTTGGGTCCGCACATCAACCTCAGGTGCCATTATTTTTCCATGTTGCAGATGAGGACAGCGGGGTTCCGCGAGGGTAAGCGGCTTGCCCAGTGTCCCACCACTAGGAGGCGGTGGAAGCAGGGGTTACACCTAGGCCGGTGGTTCTCAGGTGGGGTGATTTTGGCCCCCAGGGGACATTTGGCCATTTTAGGTTGTCACAGCCGAGTGTGGGACGCTCCTGCCATCTAGTGAGTAGTGGCTGGGGGTGCTGCCAGACGTCCCACGGTGCCCTGAGAGGGCTCGAGCCAGGTGACCGGCGTCCAGGCCCCCGCTGCCTGTCCACAAAGCCACGCTGCCGGGGCTTTGAGACTCCACAGCCCCGCAAGTGAAAACCACGATGAGATCCCGCCTCGCGCCTGTCAGGATGGTGCCCTCAGTAAGCCAACAAGCAAGCGCTGGCGAGGACGCGGAGAAAGGGGACCCTCATGCACGGTTGGTGGGAACGCAGGTGGGTGCAGCCAGTGTGGAAAGCAGTATGGGGTTAACCTCAAGAAATTAAACATGAAACTGCCTTTTGAGGCAGTGATTCCACTTCTGGAAATATATCCACAGAAACCTGAAGCGCTAATTTGAAAGAATGCATGTGCCCCTTTGTTCATCGCGGCATTATTTACAAAGCCAAGATTTGGGAGCAGCCCAAGTATCCTTCAGCGGATGAGTGGATACAAAATCTGTGGTGTGTTTGCACAAGGGAATAGGACTCAGCCATAACAAAGGAGGAAATCTTACCCTTTGTGGCAGCGTGGACGGACATGCAGAGCATTATGCTAAGTGAAAAAAGCCAGTCAGAGAAAGACAAGTACCATGTGATTTCACTCGTATGTGGAATCTAAAGAACAAACTGAACTAACAAGCAAACTACAGACAGACTCACTGATAGACAGCAGGCTGGCCACTGTTGAGGAGGGTGGTGGTGTGGAGGGGTTGAGCAAAAAAGAAAACAGAGAAAGAATTCACGGACACAGACAACAGTGTGGTATTTGCTGGAGGGGGGAGGGGGAGAGAAAGGGGGAGGAGGGGTAAATGGTGATGGGCAGAGACTTGACCTGAGCGGGCGAGCACACGGCGCAGTGTGCAGAGGACGTGTTGTCGGATCGTGCACCTGAAACCTGCGTGATTCTGTGAACTAGTAAAACCCAAACTCCACAGCCCTGAGCTCAGGTGTGAACCCTCCGCGCCCCCTAGTTTTAGTGGAATGTGGGCACCTCTCTGGCTTTAGTTTTTCCAGCTGAGAAATGCACACACCAACCCCACAGGTTTGGGCAAAGATTCAAAGTGAATATAACACTGAGGTTAATTTTGTGTGGTTCTTCTCTTTTATTCTTTTTCCTTTCTTTTTTTTTTTTTTCCTTTTAAAAGATCTCTATGGTCTGACACGTTTGAAGAAGGCTCCGGGGTCCCTGAGCTTGGGTAGAGCTACCTTGTCCTGGAAGGTAATGGCTGTGACAGCCGAGACGCGTCTCATCTCCGCTGTCCCCTCCGCCTTGAGCAGTGGTGTCTGGCACGGAGTAGGAGCTCACTAAATGTTGGTCCCTTCACCTCGATGTGCCACACACACACACACACACACACCTTTTTTAGGTGCTGCAATTGAGTGAGCGTGTCCCAGGGTGGCGTTGCCCATTGGCCTGGTGCAGGGGGGCGGTCCTCACATTTGGGGTGACCAAGGCCTGCAGGGCTGAAAGCCACACAGGATGTGTGATCATCACGGAGCACACGCCAACGCTCCGTTATACCCAGCAAAGCGTGTCCCCAGTCTTCCCCGGAGCTCTCAGCGCCCACGAGGACCTGCCAGGCTGTCCGGTAAAGAGAAGAGACCGTTGACCATGAGCGGGGTCCAGAGGCTCAGCCAAGTCTCTGAGCCGGAGAGAATCACCCTGAATTTGGACGTGGCCTTCACGCCGGCGCCCTCGCCGCCACACCGGGCCCAGAAGAGACGGGACAACTGGTGAGCAGGGAAGTGCTTCCTCAAACCCGAGTCCCACTCTCCTTGTCTGTGCCTGGCTCTGGGTGACGGCAGGGACGACCCGTCCCCACCTGCGGAAGGCCCACGGCCTGGTCGGGGAGGCATGGAGTGGCGGTGAAAAAGCGACCCTTTGTCGCTGGGGAACAGCAAGGACCCCTCGGCTGCACCCACCTCTCGGAGGTCTCCCACACGGTCCCGCCAGCACGGTGGCGTCAGGGCAGGCGCACTTCTTACACAGTGGCTCAGAGCACACCGGCGTGTGCCCGAGACAGGGAGGCCCAGGTGGGCGCGGAGCTTCCTCTGCGACCTGGCCTCTGTGAACCACAGGGACTCAGGGACTCCTGAGTCCGCCAGGGAGAGCGGACCTCGCCTTCTGGGTGGGAAGGGTGTCAAGGAGTCTGCAGAAGAGGTGTTCTACAGTTTCTGTGTATTAAAAAATTATTTTGACATAATTTCAGGCTTAGAGAAAACTTGCCAGATATTACAAAAGAATTCCCAAATACCCTTGATTCAGGTCTCCCAACCATTAACATTTTACTGAGTTATTTGTTCTCTCTCCATTTAAGACACGAGGCCCACTCACCTCTGAATACTTCACACTTCAGAGCCCTTTTTCCCATAGGCCAGGGATTTCTTATCTAACCCACAGGCCTCATTCAGACCTAACCCGCACGCCCGATCACCAGGCCCACAGGAAGGGATTTGCCAGGAGGAATGCTCAAGGATGCACATGCCCCTCCCTCTACCACTGCCTTTTATCTCCTTCCACAACTCCGGGCCAAGTTCATGATCTCTGTCCCCGAAGGGCCTCAGGGGCAAGGAGAGAGAGCACCCGGGGCAGGTGAGTCCTGATAGTGCACTCGCCAGGTACGTGCTGCGTGCGCCGGCTTAGTGCCGTTTCGTGTTCACACGCAAATCCAGGGGCAGGCGGGCTGGGCAGCACTGCTGTGCAAATGACAAGGCGGAGACTCGCCCAAGGTCGCACAGCGAGTGTGGCACATCGGAGATGCGGACCCAGCCAGGACCCCAGAGCCCGCTGTCCCCCTCCCCACCTGCCACCTGCCTGGGGTGGCTATGTGACTCAGGCTTCTGTGGGGGAGGGGCAAATCCCCCTTCTCCTCCTGGTCCTTATGGCCGGTGGAGTCATCAAAATAACGTAAAGTAGATGCACTGGAGAAAAATCAAATCTGCTGCGTGTGCCCCGGGAATTCACACAGACTTGAAGAATCACAGAGACAGCATACCTTGCAAAGGTAAGAGGAGGTCTCTGCGTCACTCTGGACCAAGAAGGAAGTAAGACAATTCAGTTACAGGGAAACGAGAAGAGTTAATGTTTAATAAACAAATGTTTGCAGGGCCGTTTGGAGAAAATGGGTCAGGAGAGGACTTTGCCCGAAGAGGCCCCTCCCATCGGCCACACCTGGTGCAGGTGAGACCGCCCGGAGGTGCTAGCTCCTTCCGGCGGGGCACCCGGCCTACGTACATTCCTGTGGACAGCGAGAGGGATGGACAGACGTCCTTCCCCAGACTCCCGGGCCGTGAAAACAGCCACCCTCAAAGAGTCAATATTCCAAAGGGGCACGTTTCAGGGTGGCACACTCTGCTCCCCTTCACTCCCTTAGGCCTGATCCTGGGGGCGCAGGGGGCCCTCAAATATTCCGCCAGGCACGCCCATCTGTGTGCTCTGAGGCAGCCCTGGGTGCCCACCCCGTGAGGTTCGGAGAGCCTCTCTCTGACTTGAACACTGTCACCGGTAGCTGCCCCTGGACCACTGCCCTCCCCCACAGCTACGAGAGGCCCGTGGTCCTCGTGAGCAGGGGGTCCCCACTCATCGGAGGCATGGAGTGGAAAGTCGACCAGATGGCCCAATGGGACAAGGGTTACCTTCGGTCTCTCGGGGGCGCCCCACCAGCATCCGGCTCGCTGGCCCAGCGGTGCCCTGCACAGCGGCACGCCTTACCTCGCCACCAGCGTCAGACGGTGTCCCTCTGGTTCCGGAACTCTGACCCCCACAGGCCTCTGGGTTTGGGTGTCCGTGGTCCGGGAGGAGCGGACGCAGTGAGGAGGAGGTGGGTCTGGGGGGCGGTGGGAGCTGCCTCCTGTGGGTGGGCTCGCATGCCAGTCGGAGGGGTCAGAGACGGAGAGCCCGAGGCCAGTCCAGCAGGAACGGGTTCAGCAGTTAGAACCCTCCTGCAGGCAGACCGATCGGACAGGGTGTGCAGAGGGTGAGAAAGAAGAATAAGGGTTATGGAGATGGGAGACTGTCTGCTGGCTGAATTTATTCTGTGCTGGAGCGAGGGGTGGGGGGCTACTGGGTGTTAGGACTGAGAACACAAAAAGAATTGGTGGTCCAAGGTGGGGCGGCCACCAGTGCTCGCCCTGGTCCCTGGGGCAGGCTGAGGAAGGGGCCCCGGAGACGATCACATCCCGATTCCCGGGACCGTGAGTGCGCCTTACAGGGCAAAAGGGTGAGCGTTACCTCCTAGGTCAAAATACGTGATGAAGCCCTGGCTGGTGTAGCTCAGTGGATTGAGCATGGGCTGGGAACCAAAGCATCGCAGGTTCAATCCCCAGCCAGGGCACATGCCTAGGTTGCAGGCCATGGCCCCCAGCAACCGCACATTGATGTTTCTCTCTCTTTGTCCCTCCCTTCCCTCTCTAAAAATAAATAAATAAATCTTTTTTAAAAAGTAAAGAAGTTTAAAAATAAAATACGTGATGAAGATAAGGATCTCGAGGGGGCGAGGCTGTCCTGGGCTGTCCCGCAGGCCAGGCCACCACAGGGGCCGAGCCGGCGTCTGCTGGCTAGCTCCTGTCTCTGTGTGCTGCTTGCCCCTGGGCTGCAGGCTGAGGGGGCAGCCTGGACGGCTGGCTTGGCTGTGGGGTCCTTCCCGGCCCCTGCAGACCCACCGATCCCCAGGCCTTCTCTGCCAGAGCAGCGCAGACTCTTGTGGGATAAACCGAGTGATGGCGACAGTGCTGTGGTCCCGGAGAAAAGTCACAACCTGTCCCGTAGAAGAGCGTCACCCCAGCTGCTTCGTTCGCTTCTCCGGAGAGACCGGTGAGCACCCTTCCTGGGCGAGATGCTCCGCACCCTGACACCCAGTCGGTCAGGAGAGTCCACGCTCCTCTCGGCTTCCACCCACCCTGGGTGCCTCTCCCTTCATGCCCCCCTCCCACAGCCTCCCGTCGCGCCCAAGTATTTTTAGCCAGAGGAAACAGCAAGTTAAAAAAATCTATCCATGCCAGCTTCCCTTTCCACCCCTTTCCAGTCCTGTAGACCCATGCTTGCACTGCAGCGCCCGCTCGGCCTTCCCTCCTGTTGGCCTTGCGAGCCCGCAGGCGCCGTGGACGCGCTGCCCAGGGGACCGGCACGCGGCTCTTGCCCAGAGCCCTCGCCCGTCTCCCACTGGTCCACAGGAAACAGGGCAAAACGATCACACACATTGTAGGGGTGGCAGGCAGGAGCGGAGCAGGGCTGGACAGAGCGTGCGGGATGCGTGAATGAAGGGCTGGGTCCCCCCGGGCGGCTGAGTGCGCAGGAGGAAGAGCAGATGAGATTTATTCTGGTCCCCACCTTCTGTCTGATCCTTGGGGGGGACTTTCGCCAGGGTGGGTCTGCGCACCCAGACACCAGCCTCTGTCTCCCAGGGCCGCAGCGCGGAGGGGAGCCCCTGGAGCACCCTTGGGTGCCTCAGGAAGCAGTGGGCGCGGGAGGCCCTTGTCTTTCCTCTTCTGAGGAGTGACCTTGATGTTTGTTGGGTCCCGTCTGCTGGCCTCAGCGTGGGCCCGGATACCCAGACAGATCAGAAGTGGCAGCTTCCCGATCAGTCTCAGGGTTTGCACGGCCACGGCCAGTCACGGTCACGGCCACGGGTCCCAACCCCCACTGCAATCAGGGCCTGCCGAGGAGCCTGATTCTCTCCGTGGGTTATTTATAACCCAATCAAAGTGGGACTCATTATGCGAAGAGCGCTGTTCCCTCCCCCGGGCTTGTCAGGTGAGGCTCTGGCCGCAGCAATCAGACTTAATGAGCGGACCCGAGACCGCAAAGTGCAAAGGCGAAGGAATCTGGTTACTCTTCTCCTGTGAGAGACGAGAAACCCCAGAGGCAAAGGGGGGCTTCGAGATTTCCTAGTCTAAGTCTCTCTCGTGTCACAGACGGAAAACCGGGGGATCACGAGGTGCAGTGAGCGGCTGCAGTCGGGTAGTCATGGAAGGGGCCGCGGCTTGGGAATCTGAGCCTCCGGCTGCAGTGCAGGCTTTGGCACTGCCAACTCCTGGGATCTGGAACTAGTGACCTGGGGTTCGGGGCCCTGAAGTGTCCCTTC